TTGTTAGATTTAATTTATTAAAATCAATACTCAATTTAACTCATTACATTAAATTTACTTTTTTAAGCTGTATATTCAGCTAATTCTAAATAAAATAAATAATTAAATCACACCACATAAATTGTAATGAATTTTGTAGATTTTAAACGGCTAGGAATTTGAAATAGAACTTAAATAAAAATGAATAGCATATAACATTATCAAGAAAATCTAAATGTATATATTTTTAAGTACCACGCATCAAATCATAATACAATAAAAGACTACATAACTCTAAAATAAGATAATTAAGTATGTATACATTTATTTAACTTTTGTAGTATCACAACATAATCAGTAAAAATTATTAACAAATTAATGTCAGCAATTGCATAAAATACATCATTTAATTAATTTTGTATTATTTACTTCAATATTTTTAAATAAAATGCTTTATAAAATTTAAAAATATTGAGAATTGTTCAAGTGTTCAAGTGTCATCTATAACAAATTATATAAACTATATTTAAAAATTAAGGTACTATAATTAATTGTATTAATCACATAATCAAACTATAAGCAACTAAATACAAATTATGTTTACATAAAAAAATTGGTTTTAATGTTTTAAGTTGATCATGAATTGTAATTGCTTTAAACACAGTAGAATAGACAGGAATAATTTTTCATGTTTAAAACATATCACTCAGCTATTATATAAAAATTAAATAATAATAGTTTGATATTGTATAGATATAAAATTAAAACTAAAAATATTATTAGATGAGCGTAATATAACTTATTTAATACTTTAAATGAAGATGAAGTTTAAAATTCACGATCTGGTAATAAAATTGGCGCCACTAATGTCCAAACATAAAGCCCAGCACAAACCCAGCAAGATAATATCTTAATCCATGTAGAAGCATAGTCTGGATGAAGGTTGTCTAAGCTGGAGTTAGGCCTAATTAAAAATAAAATAAATAAATATAAATACATGAATATAATTAATATATGATACATTTAGAATCATAAATTAACTATAAAAATAATTGTTAATACTTACGAATACCAATTTGTGAGTGTCATCATTAAGAATAAAGTTGCCATTGCAAATGTGAAGTGATAAAATGACCATGAATAAGCAACTCCATCTTTTTCATCATCAAATAGTTTACTAGAGTTTTGATCATTGTCCGACACAGGTCCTCCTTCAAGATCACTATCATTGCCTACTACAATAGTTAAATTTAAAAATGAACTTTATACTAAAGTATTAAACACTAATTAACACTCACTTCTTTCCGTAGAATTACTCATAGAGAATTTTGAGGATGATCCTGTTTTTATAGCAGAGTATAGTACAAATAAAACAAAAATCCCTATACTAACTAAATTTTCTGAACCCAAATGAACTTTAGAACCATCTGATTTAGAGAGACTCAAGACTTCTGACAAGCTCTTATTGCATTGAGTTTCTGATTAAAAATGATAATTAATACAAATTGTTTTTTTCAGATTTTTTAAAGTTAAATATATAAGATATTACCTGGACCACTATTGAGTGCCGACCAAGTAAGATACACCACATACAAACTAACAATAGACGATTGCAATAAACCTGATTTTTCATGAACGCGTTGTACACATGAAGTAATTGAAATTGAACTAATAAATAAGCATATTACAACCGTTAATATGATGAAAAATTTATTCAAAGCACACCCATTTTCCTAAAAAAATTTAAATACAGTTTTAAAAATTAATAATAATGGGAAATGAAAATGCACAATTTAAAATATTTATGAACACATTTACAAGTGGTCACAATGCCAGTACATGTATTATTTATTGAGTAATTAGTAATTATAAAATTATATCTAAAAATTGTTGCAAATATTATTTATAAATATTTACATGTGTAATAAGACAACCAAATTGTAATGATGAATAAAAATAAACTGATTTTTATCAAAGTATTTTAGCTTATAGAATTGAATAATTTTAAACAATTAAACTAAAGTTTATAACATTTTTAGAATATTAAATGTTTTTTATTAAAAGACGACACCAAAACTCATAAGTAAATGTTTTTAAATATTTATCATGGACATTTAATTATTATTTACGCATACATGTGGAGTATGTAGTGTAATTATTACTAAAACCAAATTATACAAATTTGAAAACTGATATTATAATTTAACATTGTTTAATTTTACCTGGGTAAAACTGTGATACATAATAAAAACTCCAGTAATTGCTAGTCCATATGATACTATTGTAGTAAATAGTAATGCAAAGTACCTAAAAATTATCAATTTAAAATTTGTTTTAACAAGTTATTATATGATATTGAAGTAGAACTTGCCATCTTTTATCTTCAGTTTGTTCCCATTTGTCCAGCCATGATTCAGCCAATGAATGAGCAGAATCTAAAACTTGAACAAACTGGAGGATGAGATAAATAAAACCTCCAATCATACCACAAACCATCCAAATGTGACTAAAACTTCCAGGTGCTATGAAAAATGAACCGACAATACCAGCAAATACAATGAGATATTTCAATCCCCAAAATCTAATGAAATAAAAAAAAATATGTTATTATTTTTGGTACTTCCGTGTTATCTCGACTACCCAAATATTCCCAAGACTACCTGTTGGAATCATCCGGGTTATCTCGACTACCTCCGTAGACTGTAATTCCTGCGTTGTAATCTATATCATTGTAATATACAATATTTAATTTTGTCTTTGATGTACAATGTTCCTACCTACTATAAGCAGATTAGTTGACATTAACCACTTTCTGTTTGGTTATTCCCGAACTGTAATCTGTATCATTGTTATGTACAATTTAATTTTGTCTTCAATGTACAATGTAGGTACATATGTAGCCAATTAGTTGACTTTAACCATTTTATGTTGGTTTTTATTTCGTCAGTCATTCGACAATCGTCCTATTTTCCGTATTAGCTACGTCTAGTTAAATAAATCGTTTAGYCAATATGAATTTTTTTAATTTGCCATCGTCCGAGAAGGAGGCTGTTAATTTTCTCCAAGAATGCGGAGTGTTGCCAAGTGCGCGGATTTGTCCGAACAATCACTTGGCAAAATTGTATTTTGGAAAAGAAATCTTTTGGAAATGTAAAATTAAAAACTGCCAAAAAAAGGTAAATATACGTAATGGTAATTGGTTTGCGAAATCACGAATATCGTTTACGTCTGCTGTGCGATTTATATATGGGTGGTCAAATGAAATGACTAGTATTAAGTGGTGTGAACAAGAACTTTAATGGATATTAAAACCTGCTTTCCTCCTCAAAAAAATTATTAACTACTTTTTTTTATTTTTTATATTATATTATTACAATTTTTTCTATACACATTTTTATTTATATTATTATTCAGAATAGATTTAACCTATATATTTTATATTTTTTTTATTAATTTTTTTATATTATATTATTACAATTTTTTCTATACACATTTTTATGCCATTTTAGCGTGTTTCAAAATAGATTTATATTATTATTCAGAATAAATTTAACCTATATATGTTATATATTTTTTTATTAATTTTTTATATTATATTATTACGATTTTTTCTATACACATTTTTATGCCTAAATTTAACCTATATATTTTATATATTTTTATTATTTAAAAAATTGCGGTAGTCGAGATAACACGGTTAATCATATAATAGGTAGTCTTGGAAATATTTTGGTAGTCGAGATAACACGGTTGTGAACCTAAGGTAGTCGAGATAACACGGAAGTACCTTATTTTCTTATATATGAACTTAAGTAAAACTGAAAATAAATTTCATAAAATTATACCCGTTTTGTATGGGGGCTCTTCCATCTCTAGAATTCTTCACACCCATCATAATAAATGACATAAGTGAAAAGAATATGAACATAGCAAAACAAATTCTATATACTGCCATGTAACCAACGGCATTTTTACAATCGATTGATACACCAGATATATTATTGACAATGTTACCAGTTAAACCAGAGCTGTGATCACCTTCACAAAATGGTACCTAAACATAAAACATAGATAAAATATACTAAGTATGTACCTATATTAGTATTCAATACAAATAATTGAATCACCTTTTGTAAAAACGATTGCAGTCCGGGTGCAAGTGTGATGCAACTTAAAACAATAGCAACGAGTAACATGAGGCCATACATCACTTTTGTCGACGTAGAATTGCCACATGACGGGCAACATGCAAAGAGGGAGCATGCTGCTTGACCGCAACAGCATGCCAGCTTAAAAATGTAAAAGTTGAATGTATTACGATATTTTGGTAAGTGAGGTACTGCGCACAATAATTAATAACAACACTCACTTGACCAACTGTGCACAGTGAAAATAAAGCACCCATCTTCGACGATGGTTGTTTGAGTTTCAAGTGATAGTCGTATCCCTGATAGAAACAATTTAACTAACAATGATTAATGTGAATCGCCGTCAAAAGTTCACCAAATTGTAGACAACGAAGCGCACTTCGATTGTTTTCTTTGTTCCTCAAGTGTTCAATAATACCCAACTTTTGTTCAACATTACAATAATAATATTTACTTTACGTCTTGTACTCTTGTCAGTTATAGTTACCGATAAGGTCATAAAAAACATGGATATCTTAGTCCATGATAAAAAATAATACATCAAACATGAGATATCAATTCAATTGGAAGAAAAACATAATAAATTCGCAATTTGCAACTAGATAATTATATAGTTTTTAAATGTTTTATTAGTGACGTACTAGCCCTCCGTGCTATTAGTGACGTTTTAATATTGGGATAGGTAGTCTTATTAATCTTAAACTTTTATTACCTTGTTACTTTTTGGTGTATAATATAGATTATAGCATGGCTAAATAAGTTATTTAGCCATGGATTATAGATAGTAATATCTTATTTTTCTGTGGTACTATCTTGAGCCACAGCCGTGTTAGACGCTAGTGTCTAACGTCTAACCAACATGCGCTGTAGTAGTGTACGCTACGCTATGCAGTTACATAAAAATATAAAATGTATTGGCGATTGGCGTTCGCTTTTTACAAATTTTTTTTCCTGCTATGAGACTGTCCGTTTATGTTTGAATATTATTCATATCCCTCCCATAAATTATTTACATGCCATACCTACAAGCGTATCAATCGAAATATTTTTTTGCCAGAGTATGAAAAAAGACATTACGACATCCGAAGGTCAACCACATAAGTGGTCCTGCTCGTTGCCACTTCAATAATTCATGTTCCTGTGTATTTAGGTATTCAAACTATTATTATGTTATTTATTTCTCTATAGTAAGTGTATTAGTTAGATCGTTGCTCCGTTAGTTATCTTTTCAATTATTTTATATTGGTATATGTATTCTATTTATAGGTAGTATAAGATTTAAAGTTGTTTCTTGGTTGGTTCACCATAAAATCATAACTTTTTGTATTTAAATTTTAAATTGTATTCATATATTTTAAAATCAAATCATAATATTTTATAGATTACATATTAATATAGAAAATATGAGTCTCGTGGACATTGTTGGCAAGTGTGCTGCTATAGCAACTATTGGAACATTCTTTGCTCCTGTGTAAGTACATAATTTAATATAAATTATAAAGTAATACTTACAGTGTTTTACCATACTTAAATTAACTCAAATTAGTCTTTATTTTTTTTTAATACTCAAAATCATATATATATATAAGTAGTAGATTATTAAGTTTAGAGTACCTATTGATTGTTCATCTCAAGATTTGAACTGCTTTTTTTTAATACTATATTAAGAAACTAATATTATTTACTTGATTGCATATCAACCGTATAAGTTGTTAGTTATACTTTCGTTAATAATTTTTATGGTTTTCTTTTTTTTTTCTTTTTATACTTTAACAATATATATATATATCAGTAATAGAAAAAAATAAAAGACATCTAAATAAAGTTTAATTTAATATATTAATATTATAATAATATGGTTATATTAAGGTACTTGAATAAATTATAAGAATTAAGATTGGCTACCTATTAAATATATATAAAGATATTTTCATGTACCTAGTTAGCTAGTTCCATAGACTTTACTATTTTGCTCCTTTTAAGAGAACTGAACTAGTATATGTTGTACCAACTACTATCTCGATTTATAAATGTTAAAAACATAAATAAGTCAACATTCAATAGAATCAATTTTGTATTGTTAGCTTTAAGAGAATGTTGCACTCGCATGTAATGTCTCCATCAAACACATATACCACTGCTGATGACAGCAAACTTTTGTTCACCAGTTTCACTAGTCTGCTGTTAGTTTTGATGTTTGAATGAATTGATCTATTATAAAACTTAGGTAAGAAAATTATCTATATTCTCCAATTGGCTTTTTATGATATTTTAATTTTTAAGTGAATTATGAGCATTTTAAAATATGAATTGGCCTGTTCTGGCTATCTTCAATAAGGGGCGCGGGAAAAATATACATATTTATAGGGCGCCAACTATATTTTCATCTATCCACTTCAAAAGAAAAATGGGTGTCTATAATGTTATTATTATTTTATTTAGTAACTTGAAATTACCACCTGAAGATGTTAAACACAAATAATGATTTATTCTGTGATTACTGATTACTAACAAAATTCCAATCGAAATAATTTGTTTCATAGTAAAACAGCTAAGAAAATAAATTGTACACATACTTTTAAAACTGAATTAAACATACTCTAATCTACCAAAAGGTTAAACTACATAATATGATATACATAGCACATATGCGTGTCTGCAACAGTTAATTAATAATATTTAAATAGTATAAATAATATTTTAATATTATTTTTCATTAATAAACGGCAAAATTAACAAATTTTATTAGAGTACATTACATATTACTCACTAGGTGATTGTGTACCTATGATTTGAATGTCAAATCACCGCATTTTAAAAATGTGTTAATCTTAAAAGTTAATTTATTAATAAATGCGGCTTTTAAACGCACTGTGTGAATAATAATATTGGAAAATGGAAATACATGGTTTAATTTTAGAGCGTTCTCCCAAAACTAAACTATTGCGATTCAACGTAATAAAACACATTCATACGCCATTGCTCAAAAATAAAAATTTTAAATAAAAACAAGTATTAAAATTTTAAATATAGTTCAATGAAAAGTATTGGATTAAGCTCTAATCAAGTCAACTAAATATATTCTTTATGTAAGCTGTGAGGAGTACAATCAATTTAATATAATAAATATAAAATAAAATGTATATCTTATCGAGTCAAAATAATTATCTTGGATTCTGTGATATTCTAAAACTGGAGTTTTATTAGTATAAATGCACAAATAGGTAGGCAGTTAGTTTCTTTTATCTCTAAAAATTATGACATTATAAAATTAAAATAGCATAACAATTACAAATATGTAATTTATATAATATGATACACACACAAAAAATAGTTGTACCCTAATATGTAGTAAATAATAAACAATAAACATATATTAAAATTATATAAAAAAGCGGGTAAGTCGTGGATGTTGCTCTGCTATACAGTAGTTTACAAGTGAGTTACTGGGTAATGGATGGAATTAAATTTGAATCCAATGATATTATATCATTTTATACGAATAACGATTCTGAGCAGAGACAGTTTATTTGTCGACTGTCTTGGATATATTATAGATTATTAAAAATTTTCAAATCTTAGATTTAAAAAGAAAATTTGGTACTTTTCGGTTATCGTACCCCAACGGTTGGCCGGCCGACTGCGGCGGCGGTCGGGATATACTGATTCCGTTCTCGTATTCCATTATATTTATCTCAATATTGTCAAGTTTCATTGCCATACGAATAAATAAATAATTKCCAAAAATATAATTTATTTTAATAAAATAATATAATATGAAATTATATGAGTA